GTATCACTGAGTTGCTAAGTGCCTCATTTTTGCTGAGGCTGGCTTTGAAATCTACAATCCTCCTGCCTCAGCCTCCTGAGCCACTGGGATTATAGGCATGCACCACTGTGCCCAGCCCCTTCTACTTTTTCACATCATTTATTTTCTAGATTTCACATGTAAGAGAAAACTTACGATAAGTGTCTTTCTCAGTCTGGCTTATTTCACTTAATGTGATAACCTCTAGTTCCATCCATTTTCCTGCAAACGACGTATTTTCATTATCTTTTGTGGCTAAAAAAAATACCCTGATGTGTATATATGCCACATTTTTAATCCATTCATCTGTTGAAAAGCACTTAGACTGATTTCATAACTTGCCCGTTGTGAATCATGCCATTATAAACACGGGTATACAGGTATCTCTGTAACATGCTGACCTTAACTCCTCCTCCAGGTACATATCAAGAAGTGGTATAGCTGGAACATGTGATAGTTCTACTTTGAGTATTTTTTGAGGAAACTCCATAATGATTTTTAGAGTGGCTGTAGTAACTTACATTCCCACCACTAGTGCATAAACCTTTCCTTTTCCCCACATCCTCATCAGTACTTATTGGTTTTTGTATTCTTGATAATAGCCATTCTGAGTGGGGTGAGATGGAATCTCAAAGTAATTTTAATTTGCATTTCCATGATGACTAAAGATGTTGAACTTTTTTAGTGTTCAACTGGTTCTACTGGCCATTTGTGCTTCTTTTGAGAAGTGTCTGTTCAGTTTATTTGTTCATTTATCTATTGGTTTATTTGTGTGTGTGTGTGTGTGTGTGTGTGTGTGTGTTGAGCTTTTTAGTTTTTCACCTATTCTGCATGTTAATCTTTTGTAGGAAGAATAATGGTCAAGATTTTCTCCCATTCTGTAGGCCTTCTCTTCATTCATTTTATTTCCTTTGCTGTGCAGAAGGTTTTACAATTGATGCAACCCCACTTGTTGACTCTATTATTTCCTGAACTATAAGAGCCCTATTCGGGGAGTTGTTTCCTGTGCCTATATCCTGAAGTGTTCTCTCTGTGTTTTCTTTCAGCAGTTTCAAAGTTTCAGGCCTTGTATTAGGTCTCTGATATTTTTGAGTTGATTTTTGTACAGGGTGAGAGACAGGAATCTAGTTTCAATCTTTTACATGTGGATATTCAGTTTCCTGGTGCTTTTTGTTAAAAAGGCCATCTTTCCTCAAACATATGTTTTTACACCTTTGACAAGAATCAGATGGCTGTAGCTATGTGAGTTTCTCTCTGTGTTCTCTATTCTATTCCATTGGTCTTCTTTTTTGTTTTTATGCCAGAATCATGCTGTTTTTGTTACTTTTGAAATCAGGTATTGTGATGTCCCCAGCATTGCTCTTTTTGATCAGGATTGCTTTGGCTATTCTGGATCTTTTATGCTTCCATATGAATTTTAGGATTGATTTTTCTAGTTCTGTAAGGAATACATTGTGTTTTTTTAATGGGGATTGCATAGAATCTATAGATCACTTTTAACAATATACCATTTGAACATTATTTATTCTGCAGATCCATGATCATAGAAGATCTTTCTATCTTCTACTGTCTTTTTCAATTTCTTTCTTCAGTGTTCTATAGTTTTCATTGTAGAGGTCTTTCACTTCCTTGGTTAGGTTTATTCCTAGGTGTGTGTGTGTGTGTGTGTGTGTGTGTGTGTGTGTTTTAAGCTGTTGTGAATGGAATTGTTTTCTGATTTCTTTCTCTGCAGGTTCATCATTAGTTTATAAAAAAAATGTTGACTTTTGTATGTTGGTTTTGTACCTCACTACTTTGCTGAATTTTTAAATCAGATCTAAAAGACTTCTGATGAAATCCTTAGGATTTTCTCTGTATAGGATCTTATCTTCAGCAAATAGGAAAAGTTTTACTTCTTTTTTTATTTGTATAACTTATATTTCTTTCTCTAATTTAATTTATCTGACTAAAATTTCTACGTTGAGTGAGAGTGGTGAGAGTGGACTTCTTTGTCTTATTTTGGATTTTAAAGAAATTATTTCAGTTTTTCCCCATTCAGTATTATTGATGTTAGCTATGGGCTTGTTATACATAGCCTTCGTCATGTGGAGGCAAGATCCTTGTATACCTAGTTTCTTTGGGGCTTTTATGATGAAGGGATGTTAAATTTTACCAAAGATTTTTATGCAGCTTTTGAGCTGATCATGTTATTTTTTCCATTTCTGTAGTGTATTATGCTTATAATCAATATGTGTATACATTGAGCCATTCTTGCATCCCTGGAGTGAAAGCAACTTGATCATGGCTTATGATCTTTCTAAGGTGTTGTTGAAATAAGTTTGCAAGTATTTTATTGAAGATTTTTACATCCATATTAATCAAGGATATTGGTCTATATTTGCTGTTGTGTGTTCTCATCCAGTTTTGATATCAGGGTAATAATGGCTTTATAAAATGACTTTGGAATCATTCTCTCCCTTTTTGTTCATGGAGCAGTGTGAAGATCATTGGATTTAATTCTCCAAAGATTTGGTAAAATTCAGCAGGGAATCATTTGGTCCTGATTTTTTCTTTGGTGGGAGACATTTTATTACTGCCTTAGTTCTATTTGTTATTAATTTGTTTGGGTTTTTATATCCTTGTGATTCATTTATGGCTGGCTTTATGTGTCCACAAATTTATCCATTTTTTTTCTAGATTTACTGGAACATAAATTTTCAAAATAGTCACTAATGATCCTCTGAACTTCAGTGGTATCTGTTGTAATTTTCTCTTTTCACATATAGTTTTATTACTTTTGGTCTTCTCTTGCTTTCCTTTGGGTTAGTTTGGATAGGGATTTATCAATCTCATATTTTCAAAAAACTAACTCTTTGTTTTACTGATCCTTTGTTTGCTCTTTTAGTCTCTATTTTGTCAATTTTGATTCTGCTCCATATTAGCTCTTTTTTTCTCCTGTTTTAGATTTGATTTGTTCTTGTTTTTCTAGGACCTTGAGAGGCATTTATTTGAGACCTCTCTGATTTTTCAATATAGGCACTCATATCTATAAACTTCCCTTGTAGAATTGCCTTTACTCTATCCCACGTATGCCATGTTTCTATTTTCATTTGTTTCTAGGATATTTAATATTTCTCCCATGATTTCTTCAATGATCCATTGATCATTCAAAAATTTATTCTTCTATCTAAAATTGAATTGTTTGTATAGTTTCTCTTGTTGATTTCTAATTACATTCCATTTTGATCTGATATCATGCAAGATGTTATTTCAGTTTTTTATATGTTAGAACATGCTTTATGGCTTGAAATATGATCTATTTGGAGAAAGTTTCATGAGTTTCTAAAAAGAATGTATATTCTGCTATTGTACAGAGTATTTTGTAGATATAAGTTCATTTGATCTATAGTGTAGTTTAACTCTGATGTTTCTCTGTTGATTTTTTTGTCTAGATGACCTATCTATTTGTGAAAGTAGGGTATTGAAGTCATCCGCTATTATTAAATTAGAATCTATCTATCTCTTTATGTAAAGTAGTGTTTGTTTTATGAAATTGGGCAGACTGATGTTCTAGTATACATTTATATCTTCTTGGTGTATTTTTCCCTTTACCAATATGCAGTGATTTTCTTTGTCTCTTCTAATTTTGGCCTGTGTGTTTTCCCCTCTCTGTGATAAAATAAATGAGGAAAACAACTTGAAGGAAGGCAGATTTATTTTGACAGTTTCAGACTGTCATTACTTGGCTCCAGTACGCTTGTGGTGAGGCAGAACATGGTGAGGAGGATGTAGCAGACCAAAGCTACTCACCTCATGGCAGATATGAAGCAAAAAAGAGAATTAAAAGGGCCAGAGATGTGCTTTTTGGTATACTTCCTACAATTAATCCTCACTTCCTACAGTTTCTGCCACTTCCGACAATGCCACCAAATTATGAATCCCACATTGTTGCATTAGGGACTAAGTCTTTATCATGAGACTTTGGGGAATATTCTAGATCCAAACTATAATTCAACCAAACAGCTTGAAGTCTGCTTTATCAGATATGAGTGTAGCTACTCCTATTGCTTTAGGACTCCATTTGTATGGAATATTATTTTCAATCCTTTCATTTTCAGTCTGTGTATGTCTTTGTCAAAGAAGTAAGTTTCTTACAGGTGACAAAGAGTAGGGTATTGTTTTTTAATCCAATCTGCCAGTGCATGTCTTTTAATTGGAAAATTAATACCATTTATATTTAAGAGTATTGTTGAACGGTATGTACTAAATCCTGTCTGTCGTTTTGTTGCCTTTCTAATGTTTCTTTCTTTTCTAATTCTCATTTTCTTATCTACTCTTCTAGTTTGATTTCTTTCCTGTGTTCTCATGGTTGCATTTATTGCAGAATGCCTGTTTTAAAAGAATTTTGCACACACCATCCTCTGAAGGTAGAGAGAGGAATCAAGTTCACATACAGGAACACCTAGGCACCAATCAGTATTTTTACCCAGATGCTAATAATTGTTTAGTTTTGGAGGGAAAGAAACTCAAGGGGAGGTTTCAGCTGTGGATGGAAAGAAAAGGTCATATACCCAATTAAATGGCCTGATGATTTTCCAACTCCACCAGTGAGCCTTCATTTCTTGCTATCTCTTTTCAATTTTTTCCTGCCATTTTTTCCTGTTTTCAGAGAACTAGTTCTAATTTGATCCTATTGATGAATAATATGCAGTAGAGTGTTAATAATTGGTAATAAGTGAATATATTTTATATATCTTAGGGGCAGTTGCATTTGTAGCCTGTACAAGTTTTATTCCATGAACTCAAGAGATGAGAAAACTATTTCATTTCTTTGGTTTCTTTCCCTCCCCTTCCCCTAAGATGGTATATAAACCTCAGATTCTAAACACCTTGTGTCACATTTTTCTTTGAACTCCTATATACAGACAAAGTAAAAATCAGTCATGTATTGAACATATCTTTTTAAAAATTTATTTATTTGTTTATTTTTATGTGGTGCTGACTATTGAACCCAGTGCCTCACGCATGTTAGGCAAGGGCTCTGCACTGAGCTACAGCGCCAGCCTCTGAAGGTATCTTTTTGCCAGTTTAATTAGCAGGCCTCCAAGACCAAACTTCAGTGGGTAGAATTTTTTTTTTCTGTCTGATAAGAGTCTTCCTTCCTGAGATCATAGAAAAATCAAACATCAGATCATTCTGGCATCAATACAAAATACAGATCTTGTTTCAAAGGAAATAAGAGAGAGAGAATTCTGAGCCAAATATCAGTGACCAAGGTCTGGGAACACTGATTCAGATGGCCCTGAATAACATACTCCACCATGAAAGAGGTTAAGTGAACATTTAAGGTCACAGGAAAAGAGGAAATCATAAATCAATGCAATTACCGAATACATGGGTCAGGACATTATTTAGGTGGATTCCAGTAATGTGGGGATACCTTTCCTGTGGGTTTCAGATATTATCTCATAGAAGTCTTAGCTTTAGGGTTTGTGGAAGTCAGAGGTCTGCTGAGCTTAGGCATAACTTCCAGTAGTCTTACGTTAAGAGTCATAAGAATGTTAGGTCAAATACAGAGGTCGAAAGTAGCTATTGAAAGGCCTAAGATAGCCCAAGATAATTTTGGCTCTTGACCTGCAGCATTTCATCTCTCCTCAATCACGATGTTGTACTCCGTCAACGTAGGTCTTCAGAATCTTTAATGGAGATGTGACTTCTTCAGAGAACTTCAGCTCCACACTGGGTTTGCTGAGATACATCCATTGTCCAAATAGCATTGATCTGGTATACCCACTATTTTACCTGCTGTGTGACGGCAGAGAAATCATAGCCAAGGCAGAACTCTTTGTGAGGGTCCAAACTCCTCAGTCCTGTCTCCTTCCTTCCTGTCTCCTTGGTCCATGGAGTGAATCCTACCTCTCCTATGCAGATTTCCATTTGCTCCTGTCTCGGGAGGCACCTTCTCAAAGAGTACTCACTTTTCTCCCATCTCTCTGGCATAATACTCCCAAGAAGCACAGCCCCCGAGTCAGAAAAAGACATTGCCTTTCTCATCTACATTAGATAATTTTTGTTTCATGTACCCATAACGCAAACCTCCCCTGAGACAAGGGAGGGGCTCAAAGGGCAAGCTGGCTTTCTGGGGGAAAAAAAGAGGAAAACATATTGCAAGAAGAAAATACGACTATCTCAATAAAAAATACTCAGCAACTACAGTTATATCAGCTATTGCTAGAAGTAGCAAGAAATGGGCCTTTTAAATTGGCTCCTTTCAGGTCATACAATGGGCCCTCTACAGAAAGTCTAGGCAGAGTCTGAGGTTAAGTGCATTGGAGACAATCTTGAATTTGCACATGTTGTTCTTGGAGAAACATTTCTCATGCTATCCCAATGCTTGTGAGACTTTTATTTCCTCCAAGCAGAAAATTCACAACTGAGATTCTCACCATAAAAATTACTCACCTGCAATGACCTTGGGATCTCTGAACACAGTGTGCTTGCTTCTTGCTAAGGGTGGAGTAGCCCACCTTCCCTTGAGTTCAGTTTCCCTGCCCACCCTGTGAGACCTGCCTGCCAGGATGTGGTGTTGAATGGACTCTGAGAAGTAAACATTGAGGAGGATGTTTTCCTGCCCCACCCCTGCCCTCTAGGAGATGACAGCAATAATTCTGGGTTGTGAGCCAAAGGCAGGCCCTGTCCTACCTGACTCCTGCCAGATGCCGCTGCCTTAAAAATAGAAATTGTAGCTTTCCCCATTGGGTGGAAGCAGCCCAAGCCCTGGCACTGAGTGGACATCACACTTCCCCCAGGCCAGCACGGACAGACTTGAGAGGAGAAAAGGAGTTAGGGCATGGCTGCTGTTCCCCTCTTTCCTGAACTCCGTGACCTGTGAGATGACCTTCAGAACCAGAAGCTTTTGGTGCTATCTGGGTCCCTTTGACACCTGAACTCTGACATAAGATATCAGAGGGGTTCTGTGGAAACCCCCTACTATTCTCCTGAAAAATGACATACCTGAAAGTGTAGAAGGATATAGATTTGCATAACCTAAGACAGAGAGTCTAAAAAAGGACCAGTTATGTTTCACAAGTATTTGTAACGTTTCACTTTGGTCCAGGCACCAGCAGCCCGAGTTCTTACTCTGGTTTACATCTCTTAGTAGGTCCACTTTACAGACTAGATAAGGTGCAGGGGGGATTAAATAAATGACTATTTCAGGTCCCACAGAGAGTAAATTATATAGTCCAAGATTCTAAGATAATATTTCTATTTCTTTTCACCCATTTTGTAACCTATTCCGATATTTATTTCAACAAAAAGTTACTAGATTTGTTTGTTAGTTTAAGATAAATGCTTCAAGAATACCAAAACTTCCTAACAGCAAGATGGACTGAGTCCCTGTTAGGAAAACTAGGCATATATTTATAAAATTCTAAGTAAATTGGTGTTTCTGAGGAACTCCAATAGAATCACAGTTGGCGAGGGAAATCTAAGCTGATAGTTTATTTATTATCTTGAGAAGAGTTGTTTTCTATTTATAGTCTCCTTGTTCAATTTAAGCATTAGTGTGTATATTGGGTGTGTGTGTGTGTGTGTGTGTGTGTGTGTGCAAGTGTTAGATGTGTCCATGGGGTAGACAAATAAGCTTTAATATAGAGCTAGTAAGGCCAAAGAATAAGCACATTGTATACAACAGAACAACTAGAGTGTTCTGTAGCTTTGAAAAACATTGTGGCTAAACAAAATGTTCTGCCAGGGGCAACATGGGTTAGTCCTCTATCATCTCTGTAGGAACAGGTTGTATTTTCAGGTTCTATTGGCCTTTATGGTCCAGCCTAATACACTGCGTTCCTGTGTAGCTGAGTTGCCAAACAAGACCAATAGTTCAATTTGGGGAGCTGAGAAAGAAGGAGAGAATTTTCAGTTCCTTTCATAAAGCTATGTCTTTTCCAGAAAAATCTTTTGTCCCCAGCATGTGCCTCCATTTAAAAAAAAGAGGGCATGTTTTCTTTGAGAAGTTGGAGAATTTTTAAAGCCTATTTTTCAACTGGGTGAGGATTTCACAGAGACTGTGTATTAGTAACAACCATTAATGCAAAGGTACCAGATAGATGTGATCTCATTTAACCTCTAAGGAAGGCTGTGACAAACGAAGCATTTTCACATTTTGAATGCAGACATTAGGGTTCATATATTGTAAATAATTTGCCTAAAAAGTTCCCCTGGAAAGTGATGGAGCTTTTGACCCCAAAGTCTTAACGACTGTATCTTACTTCTTCCCAAGGAGATGGGATGAGGTAGGATAAATTATCCACATAGGATAGATGGAAGTTGGCAACAGGTCACCAAAAACAGCTCTGAGTGGCCACCCTCATGAATTGGAGGATAACTTTAATCTTGATCTTCACTTTGAAGAGAATCCCCCCCTCATAAGCATGGTCAGTAAGTTTTTGAGTTACAACTGGGAACAGTTTTTAAAAAGATAATAAAATTTGGGGCTGGGGTTGTAACTCAGTGATTGAACACTTGCTTAGCATGCACAGGCTCTGGGTTCAACCTCCAGTACTGGAAAAAAATGATAAAGTTAATTACCTTGCAGAAGACATTATTTTTTTCATCTCCTAGAGCAAGGGAAAAAGTCACATAAATTATCATCATCATCATCATCATCATCATCATCATCACTTGGTGGTGAGGATGAAAACCAGTTACATCCCCAGTCATTTTTATTTTCTATTTTGAAACAGGGTCTCACTAAATTGATGAGACTTTTGCTAAGTTGCTGAGGCTGGCCTTGAACTTGTGATCCTCCTGCCTCAGCCTTTCTTCGATAATCTCAATCATTGCTGGAATTACAGACATGTACCACTGCACCCAAATATAAATTTATTTCCAAATTATTCACATGCAAAAACTTCTAAAGAGCTGATCACATGAAGATCATTTCATTTTATAGGAAAATCACATGGAAATTCAAATATATCTAAAACAGAGACCTCTACAGAAACTTACTGCAAGTACCAGTAATATTAATGGTTTAAGCCACAGTAGTCTTCATAGAAAGCCTATTTTTAAAATTATTTATTTATTCTAATTTGTTATACAAGATCGCAGAATGCAATTTATTTCATATTACACATATAGAGCACAATTTTTCAAGTCACTGATTATACACAAAATATTTTCACACCATTCATGTCATTATACATGTACTTAGGGTAATGATGTCTAACTCATTCCACTATCATTCCTACTCCCTTGCCCCCTCCCTTTCCCTCCCTCCTCTTTGCCCTATCTGAAGTTCTTCCATTCCTCCCATGCTCCCCCCCACCACCACCACCACCATTATGAGTCAGCATCCTTATATCAAAGAAAACATTCAGCATTTGGTTTTGAGGGATTGGCTTGCTTCACTTAGCATTATATTCTCCAACTCCATCCATTTACTTGCAAATACTATGATTTTATTCTCTTTTAATGCTGAGTAATATTCCATTGTGTATATACACCAAAATTTCCCTATCCATTCATCTACTAAAAGGTACCTGGGTTGGTTCCACAATTTAGCTATTGTGAATTGTGCTGCTATAAACATTGATGTGGCTGTGTCCCTGTAGAATGCTGTTTTTAAGTCCTTTGGGTATAAACTGAGTGATGAACCCAGCCTGATTCCATTTTAAGGTTGGGAGCCATCTCATTACAAAGTCATGAAAAGTTCATTTCTGTTTTACTATAAATTACTGCGATTTCTAAACTTGTTGGGAATTCCTGCCCATGCTTTGAACTCACCCATGCCTTGCTTTCCCTGACCAGATAATAATCCTCTCTGAAACGTTAGTGGCACCTCATAAATTCTGATGTTGGGATTTGAATTTACTCCCTACCTTGAAATATCATGCCATTTAGATCATTAACCTGCTATCTGCCTTTGTATTATGCTTGTCAAAATCCTGTTATCTGTAAGTTCTCAAGATACCCCCCCTTTGCAACTTTTTGTGATATAAAACCGTGTCCCTCAAAAGCTGGGGTACTTATCTCTAGCCCGGAATTTCAGGTGAGACTGTCGATGGCCAGCCTTGTGGACACAAATATGAGCATGCTTTAACTTGATTTAAAATTGGAGTCGGTGGTCTTTTCTTTGTGTAGATGTTCAACACCAAGGAGTAGGATAGTTGGGTCAAATGGTGGTTCCATTCCAAGTTTTCCAAGGAATCTCCATATTGCTTTCCAGATTGACTGCTTCAACTTACAGTACCACTAGCAATGTATACTCATTGCCTTTTCCCCCACATCCTCGCCAACAATTATTGTTTGTATTCTTGATAACTGCCCATTCTGACTGGAGTGAGATGAAATCTTAGAGTTGTTTTGATTTGCATTTCTCTAATTATTAGAGATGTTGAACATTTGTTCATATATTTGTTGATTGATTGTATATCCTCTTCTGAGAAATGTCTGTTCAGTTCCTTGGTCCATTTATTGATTGGGTCATTTCTTTTTTTTGGTGTTAAGTTTTTTTTAGTTCTTTTTATATCCTAGAGATTCGTGCTTTATCTGATGTGCTTGTGGTAAAGATTTGCTCCCATTCTGTAAACTCTCTATTCACCTCACTGATTGTTTCTTTTGCTGAGAAGAAGCTTTTTAGTTTGAATTCATCCCATTTATTGACTCTTGGTTTTAATTCTTGTGCCAAAGGAATTTTATTAAGGAAGTTGGGGCCTAATCCCACATGATGGAGATTTGGGCCTACTTTTTTTTTCCATTAGGCACAAGGTCTCTGGTCTAATTCCTTGATCTACTTTGAGTTGAGTTTTGTGCATGGTGAGAGATAGAGGTTTAATTTCATTTTGTTACATGTGGATTTCCAGTTTTCTCAGCACCATTTGTTGAAGAGACTCTCTTTTCTCCAATGTATTTTTTTGGGGGGTGCTTTTGTCTAATATAAGATAACTGTAGTTATGTGAGTTAGACTCTGTGTCCTCTATTCTGCTCCATTGGTCTACCAGTCTATTTTTATGCCAATATCCTGCTGGTTTTGTTATTATTGCTCAGTAGTATAGTTTAAGGTCTGGTATAGGAAAGCTTCACTCTTCTTGCTAAGGATAGCTTTGGCTATTCTGGGTCTCTTATTTTTCCAGATGAATTTCATGATTGCTTTTTCTATTTCTATAAGGAATGTCATTGGGATTTTGATTGGGATTGCATTGAATCTGTATAGTGCTTTTGGTAGTATGGTCATTTTGATAATATTAATTCTGCTTATCTAAGAACAAGGTAGATCTTTCCATCTTCTATGGTCTTCTTTAATTTCTAGAAAGCCTATTTTAATGTCCTTTTTTTAAAAAAATTTAGTTGTAGAAGGACATAATTTTGTTTATTTAGTTTTTTGATGTGGTGCTGGGGATTGAACCCAATGCCTCCTGCATGGTAGGCAAGCTTTCTATCACTGAGCCACAACCCCAGCCCTATTTTAATGTTCTTCATAAGTGAAAATGGTAGTACCAGAAATTGTAAAATTATGATTGCTTTTGTTTATTTAGCATTACCAACAGTCAGGTCAAGATACAAAGAAGATAAACCAGGAGAAGTTATTTGGAAAGTATATACAGACATATATCTATATATCTTTATCTAGATATCTATATACCTACTTACAGACCTCTCTAGAATATATAAAGAATACCTATAAATCAAAAGGAAAACTGGTAA